AGGAGGAAGAGGAGGAGGAGGAGGTGGCGGAGGAGGGAGGATAGCGATATCGATCGCTGGAAGATGGGCGGGGGGTGGGAGGAGGAAAATAAGATCACTGCGCGCAGCGCGCAACCGTTCAGCTTTGGCGCGCTGCTGCCCCTTGGGCTCGCGCGGGGCAGGCGAGATGCTGCCCCTGGCGGCCGCGCGCAAGCGCGCCTCGAGCTGGCCGAAGGCGGCCGCGCACGACGACGAGACGACGACGACGATGCGACGACGGCGACGAAGACGGCGACGAATGAGGCGAGCTTGCCCGAGCGGCTGCTCGGGGAGGTGGAGCAGCTGCGCGGGGAGGTCGAGCAGCTGCGCGCGGCGAACGCCCAGCTGCGGGCGGAGAAGGAGGAGGCGGATAAGACGGCGACGACGATGACGAGACGACGACGAGACGACGACGACGACGACGACGACGACGACGACGACGACGGTGGCGGCGACGACGACGGCGGCGGCGGCGGCGACGACGACGACGACGACCCCCCCAGGTGGCGCGGCACTTGGCCCTCCAGATCGACATGCGCGACGTCGAGCTGGATCGGGCCGCCGAGCTGCTGGGCGTCGCGCGCCGCCGCGCCGCGGTGCATGCGGCGGCGCTGGCGCAGCTCAAGCAGGACGCGATGACGATCATCCGCCTGCAGAGGCTGTGCGACGCCCCCGAGGCGGAGGCGGCCATGGCGTCGGCGGTGGCCATGGCCGACGCCCTGACGAAGCCGCCTCCGCCGCCGTGGCCCCCCCGCGAGGAGGGGCTCACGGGCGGCGACGGGCGCCCAGGGTCGCCCGCGGACGCCCTGACTGAGCCGCCCCCGCCGCCGCGGCCTGCGCCCCCGCAGCGAGGCGGCGCGAGGCTGCGCGCGCCAACAAGAAGCTTGGGGGGGGATAGCGATGTCGATCGCCTGGGGGAGGTAGCGATGGCGATCGCTTGGAGGAGGAGGAGGAGGAGGAGGAGGAGGAGGAGGAGCAGGAGGAGCAGGAGGAGCAGGAGCAGGAGGATGAGGAGGAGCAGGATTTGCATGGGCAGCCAGGGGGCTGCGGAGGGAGGAGGAGGAGTAGCGATGCCGATCGCGATGTGCATGGGCAGCCAGTGGGGCCGCGGGATTTGCATAGGCAGCCAGGGGGGCTCGCGATCTCGATCGCCGCGAGGAGGAGGAGGAGGAGGAGGATGAGGAGCAAGAGAGCGATGCCGATCGCTGGGGGAGGCGAAGCGATGTCGATCGCTTGGAAGGGGGAGGAGGCAGGAGAAGGAGGAAGAGGAGGATGACGATGATGAGGAGGAGGAGAGCGATGTCGATCGCTCGGGCGCGGGTGGGAATATGGGTGGAGCGATGGCGATCGCTCGGGCGGGCGTTGGCGACGATGGGCTCGCGATGACGGCGATTGCTCAGCCGTTTCGGCTCGCCTCGCGAGTGACGCACGGGGCGCTCGCGGCCAAGCGACGGCGCGCGCGCGCGCAGGAGGGGGCGCGTCATGGACGATCTCCCCTCGGAACCGCTGCCACCTGGGCTGGTCGGCGCGAAGCCGTCCAGTGTCCCGCTGCCGCGAGGCGGCCCGTGGCCGAACATGGCCAACGCGAAGTTCTTCAAGATGCCGTCGCCCGCCGCTTTCGTCGCGGCCACCTCCAAGGACGCGGCGCCGCCGCCGCCGCCCAAGCGGCCGCGCCTCGAGGTTGCAGCCGCAACTGCCGAGGGTGGAGGCTGGATCATCGCCGAAGCCAGGGCGAAGATGATCTGGCGACGCGTCACCCAAGCCGCCAAGGCCGCGGCCGAGAAGAAGCTCTACGGCGACGCCGCGGAGCAGGAGGCGGAGCTCGCGTACGCCGAGTACCTTGCGGCTTGGGAGCGCTCGCAGATGGCGTCGGCCGAGAGGGAGCAGGCCATGGAGGTCCAGCGTTCGTGGGAGTTCGAAAGCGCCACCGTGCGCCCTCCCACCGAGGATGAGCTGGTGGAACTGCTCGTGTCCCTGGGCGGGGATGGGTGGAACGACTCCAGCGTCCTCAGGCGGCTCCGACAGCAGGCCGAGCTGCAGGCGTTGAGCGAGGCGGAGGCGATCTGCTTGGCCGCCTTCCGCGACGGGCAGGGCGGCGAGGCGGCCCCTGAGGGTGAGCCCCCTGCGCGGTGAGGAGGCCGCGCGTACACTGAGGACGCGGCCGCGCGCGGTGAGGAGGCCGCGCGTCCCGCCGCGCTCATCACTCTCCTCCCCCCCTCCCCCCCCTCACAGCGATCGACATCGCTCTCCTCCTCCTCCTCCTCCTCCTCCTCCTCCCAAGCGATCGCGATCGCTTCATTTCCCTAAGTAACTTATAAGTAGCTTATAGTGTTAGCTTAAGTAACTTAAGAACATCAACTTAAGTTACTTATAAGTATCTTAGTAAGTACCCATAAGTAGCTCATGTAAGTAGCTATGTTACTTGCGATACTTATACATAGGGTGCAACTAGCATAAGAGCCACCATTCTCGAAGCAGACCCCCTCTGGGGAGTCCCGGGGGGTCCCCGGATTCTCCCCGGCATCCGCCCAGACCCCCCTGGGGAGTCAAGATGCATTCTTTTGACCCCACTGGAAACCTTTCAGTCTTCGCTGTTGGGTAATATGCTATACATAGCACGTCATGGAAACATGCAAAAGCTTCTGCTGTTTAGTATGGTCTGTCTGTCAATGGCCGCCCGTGTCTTTAAACCCATCAACGTGTTTGCGTACCTTTGGGGCGCTCTGCAACCTAGAAAGATTTCGCTCGTGCCTGCCTCGATGAACATGTCCAACTTCTTGTTGTTGCAGTCCGGTGCCGTCCGCCTCATTGCCCCAAGTAACTTCTGATGAAAAATCGTCCTTTCCTCTTTCGGCTCGGCGGCCTTTCGCGCCGACCGCACCTCTGCCACATGTGGCGGGTCTTTCTCTCGGCGTTTGCTTCCCTGGTGTCCAGCACGTCCGTGGCGAGATGTTGATTCGTGCGTCGTCGAATGATGGACGCAAGATTTGGATCCGGAACGTCAACCGGTACTTCGCCACCAGTTCTTGCAATGTTCAGCCCCTGGCGTTTTTGGGAATATGCGCCCTCTTCGGTGGTTTATGATTCCCACCAATTGTTGCCAACAGTAAAGTGTCGTCTTCTTCTGCGTTATGCAGTCCATGCCTCACACCCTCCTGTCAGCAACAATGTAGTCGTTTTGCTTGAGAGACCCATGGTTCCACATCTTGTGCGTCCGAATTGTGTCGACCCGCTCTGGGAAAAAACGTGTTCACGAGCGTCAATGATTCGCCCCGCGCCACTGTAAAAATATGTCCCTGGCCGTTTCCGCTGCCCTAGCCAAACTTCCCAATGCAGCCAGGATCGTCGTGGTATGTGTTTGTTCCAACCTGTGCGTTTGCATTCACGCTGGTGGTTACCAATCTTTCTGTCCGATCATGCGGGAAATGCTTTGACAGTGCTGCAAGGGCTGCGTCGCATTCGTGGTCACGGCGCTCAGAATGAGGCATGCGTACAGAAGAAACCGTCTACTGTACAATCCAAGACAAGGAATGAAGGAATGCAGTACGTCCATCTGGCACCACCTGAAAGCTCTCAAATTGCGAAGCCCAGCGCCGATGGAGCAAGATTGCAACGCTGCGTGGCCGCCTGCTGCATGCGCCCAAAAACCATGTAAACTCCCACATTCACGGTTTCAAAAATCGTCTCTTCACTATTGGCCCACCCTGATTCAATATAAAGTCCCATGATCGCTGAATAATCGAAACATTGACGAGCATGTCTGCGAAACCCTCTTTGCCCATCCCAGCCACGTTCCAAATTAGCACATGCAGATCACACTTGCTTGATCTGTTTGAATCAATGCCCTCAAGCGTTTGCGGAGATAGTATTCCAGAGCGCACAATCGAAACATGCTGCAACGATGCGATGGGGAAGTCGCCATCCACATGCGTGCAGATTCCTCGTCCTGCCCCCTTGTAGGTGCCCGGTCTCGTACTGGTCCTGCTTAAGCCACTTTGGAGGCCTTGTCAAAGATCGTATTCTGGAGCGCCAGCCCTCTTGCTCATCCACTCCTTCATGGATGCCTGCACAGACTCTCGTACCCTTCATCCCTTCCCCTTGGTACTGCATTCCCTTGTCCTCCACCTCCCATGATCTCCCCCAATTCTTCATCCACGACCCGCCTTGCCATAGTGTCATTGCGTTTGAACCTCGTATCAGACCCCCCTTCCCTTACGTACTTGTAATCTTTCAGAATTCAGAAACCATATCTTCGCTGCGATTGATTTGAACTGTACGACGCCACTCCCGCCTCCTCCACCACTTCCTTCATCGGTCTGATGACATCCTCCTCGTCCTCCGCCTTGTTTAATCAAAATGCAATAACCGGTAATACGCTGGCGCTGTCCTGTATATCCAACTTCTTTGTCTCCGGCGGCTGGCGTGCTCCTCCCGGCTCTAACGACTTCCAGATGTCCTTGCTTTCTTTATCAAATTATTCAAATTGTTTCCTCATACTCGTAATGTCGTGTTGCATGTTGCCGACCCTCTGTATTACATGCTCCGCTGTCGTTTCCACCATCTGGACATCGTATTTGACCTGTGGCATGTCCCTCTTCATCGAGATCGGGGCGTCATACATCTGATCGACATGTTCCTCAAAACTCATGTCCTGCTTGGCGTTTTTTACTCTGGTTGGACCTCCCCATTGCTACTACCTTCGGCCTTGCGTGAACCCGAAAGCATCGATTTAGCCAACTCCATCACTCTGAAATTATGGTCGTCCCTGCACTGGCCAACAAGGAAAAGCCATCACTGTGAGTGAGGTATGCAGTTATAGTTGTCTGGTAATCGGTGCTGAAGCGTTTACTTGAGCCCTGACGCTTACTTGCGCCAAAATCGCTTGGGAAGGTAGTCAGAGTGAAAAGAGATGGGAGGAGGGAGGGAGGAGGGAGGGAGGCAGGAATCCACTGAGGAAGGGCACTCCAGGCCCAGGGGCCCGCCTGCCGCGTTGGCCGCCTGCTCGAGCCGCAGCGTCAGCTTCTCAATCAGCCCCTCGATGTGCTTCTCCTCGGGGTGTGCGCGGCCGCGCGCGGCCGCGGGAGTTGCGTCCAGCACTCGCACCACTGGGCGGGCACGGCGACGGACTCGGCGACGACGCCGACGCCTCCTCACTAGGCGTCGTCGTCCTCCTCATCTTCTTCCTCTTCCTCCTCTTCCTCCTCCTGCTCCTCCTGCTCCTCCCTCCTACTCATCCTTCTGCTCCTCCTCCTCCTGCTCCTGCTCCCCTCCCCTCTCCTCCTCCTCCTCCTCCTCCTCCTCCTCCTCCCTCCTCCTCTTCATACAATATCGTCAAGATGCTTGTCACCCTCCTCCCGCGCCTCCCGGGCCCCTCTCCCTCCTCCTCCTCCTCCGCGTCCTCCTCCTCTGCGTCCTCCTCCTCCTCTCCCCTCCTCCTCCTCCGCCTTCTCCTTCCCCCTCGCGGTCGCTAATTATTCCTCCCCCTCAACTCTATCCCAACCTCTCCTCCTCCTCCTCCTCCTCCTCCTCCTCCTCCTCCTCCTCATTTGCACCTCCTCGCTCCTGCTGAATCCCCACTGTTCCCTTGCAAAACGTATTGTGTCGACGATCCTTCGAGACGGGTGGCGAGTCCAACTGTCCCTCATGAGGGTCGGAACCCAGCCCCCCCCCTCTCTAGTTGTGGCTGGCCGAACCTGGCGAGCACTTCTCAGAAACACTGAAAATTACCCAGCAACGCCCTCTCGAGAAAATCGGAAAACGTCACTCTGAAGATCGGGGATCTGGAGCCTTCAGGGCACACTCCGTCCCCCTTATTCGTCGTCGCCTCAGGTCCTGCTTTAATCAACATTTGAGGAGGGCATGGGTGCCACATGTTTTAAGCCGGTTTCTGGGAGCACGGCGGGCATGGTTTCCTAGGTCGGGCTTTCTATATTCATCTTCTGGCACATACTTGCGTCCACCTCCGACCCGCCTTCAACCCTGCGGGGACTCATCAGCAACAACATCGCCGTCGCCGACATCGAATAGTAATTGTTCATATCGCCCTCCATTTCGTCCAGTACTGGTTCCGACATAAAGTGTGCTTACACGAAAAAGCAACTAATTGAAAATCGCACTACGCTTGACATCAACTCCCCATCCCGAGCCAGCGCTATGAATTCAGTCTAAGAGATTGGTGGCCGAATATTGGTTAATCAACTTGCTGACCACTGCGAGACCTATCATTCACCCACAACCACCACATTACTGTCATCGTGCCCGCAGGTATTACCGTGGCGGCGTCATCGTCGCTCGCAAGGCCATCATTAGCATCACCATCGTCAAGACATGCATTATCACTTTCGCCCAAGGGGGCCCTGGGAATCAGGGCGCCCTTGACAAAGGGGGTCAGGAAGATTGAAGCGCGAAAAAGAAAGGGGGATCCGACTTATCGGGGGGACGGCTATTCAGGAATATGAGAACGCGTGAGAGCTGAGCGGTTGAACCCGCCAGACAGAACGGCCGTTTGATCTGGCTCGGACCAAACTGCATCGCGATCCGACCCGACTGAACTGGCTGGACCGAGCCGCGCGCACAACGAACCGGCACCCAAACGCGGCCATGACGGATCTGCGGGCCTCCGGACACCATACGGTTTCGGGGAGACCAATACCGTAACTCCCCCCTCTCCTGGGGTGCATTCTGACAAACGAATCCAGCGGTAGCAACGGGAGCCTCCGAGGAGGCCCGAAACACGGGAAACGGGCGAACGGTAGCGGTATGGGCACCTTTTCCTCGTCCGAGATTTCTTCAAGTCGTGGGCCCCCCGAACTCCCGAACCCGTGCCAGGGACTGCTGTCCTTGCGCCGCTAGGGTTGCGTTTGCCGACGGTCCCGGGGTCGCCCGCAGCGTCGGCCGCCAGCTCGCCGCTTCCGAGGAACCGCCTGGTGGCCCACCTGTCAACGCCGGCGGCCAGGTGCCGAAAGCCAGCGCGCCACCCAGCCACCTCGCGTACCTCGCGGGCCGCCCAAACTGCGAGGAGCTCGTCGCGTGTGTCGGGCAGGGCGCGGCGGGCTGGGCGCCAGCCGCCAAGCGCGGTGGGAGCCCCCGCCCAGCACTCGATGCCCCGCCCTAGCTGCAGCCTACAGCACCGCCAGGCTCCGGATCGCCGCGTCCACGGGGCCGAGACTGCGGCCGTGCCCGGCGGCCACTGGCGGCGCGCCTCCAGAGCTCCATTGGGAATCGACGACTGCGGAGAGCTCTGGCGACCTGCCATAACGGTGCGATGACCGCCACCGCCGCTGGATCGAGCCGCCAACTCGGGGCCAAGACGCCGAAAACGACCTCCGCGGCCACCCGGAGGCCGCCCCGGCATACCACGCGCCGCGCGGCAGCGCGAAGCCCAGCCAACTCCCACACCAGGGGGCGCCCGCAAGCGATAGTCAAGGCTAAAGTAGGTTGGGACATCAGAACCCTGGGCAACAGTGACCTTTGGTGCGTGGCTTTAGGGGGCCACGGTGGGGCCAAGTCCAAGCGCGCAAGCCAGTACTGGGGGGCACTGGGGGGGGAGCCCTCTGGGCCCGCACCAAGGGTCACTCCGGTGAAGGGTCACTCGTAGGTTCGGGCGTTGGCATGGCTGGGTATAGTGAGACCTGGTCTCGTGATGTGCACCGGGGGACACACCACTAACGGTATGCGGCCCTTCTCCTCAAGCATAGTGCACATCTTCTGCTGAACGCCTCACACCCGCGAGCCTCCCCGAAGAATGTCCACTGTCTACTGGCGCGGTGGCGGTTGCGAACGTAGCAGCATGGTCATCCCCCTGCTCCCGAGGGGGCGCCGCAGCGAAGGGTCCTTCGCAAGGGGAGAAAACGACCTGGGACCGCAGGCGGCGGGCGCAAGCCCTCACAACAATGCGGCCGCAACACCCTCTTTAGAACCGGACAAAGAGCATCAACTCGCTCAGCGACTTGGCGAGGCGGGGGGGTCCATCAACCTCCGAGTTCTTGGCACGAGGGAAACGGGCCCTGAACTCCGGGGCCTCCCCCCGGGCATCCTGAGCCAGTGCCTGGCGACGCCCGAAAGCGGCGGCAGACCTCAGGACCCGTCTCCCTCAGGACCCGTCAAGGCTGCACGGCGAGAGTCCATCTCCCTTCCCCGATCCAAGACGAAGCCAGGACGAGGCTAGCATCGGGTGAGCACGAATCAAGAATCTCTGAGATCCGGCGGCTCTGGAGATGTCTCCAGCTAACGCCGCGGCCTTGTCAGAGCGTTCCGGAACGCTCTGGAAGAGATTTGTCCTCGTCCCAGCCCCGCCCGACGATCATGGGGCCGGGCAGGGGCTCGGCGCGGCGAGGGGGTCCTTCTCCACGAACTGCATGATGTACTGCACCCGCCCCTCCGCGCCGCCGCTCACCTGGCCGGCGGCCTCCTGGCGGGCGCGTCGGCGCTCGCCCGCCGCTCGCTCGCGGGGCCCGCCGTTGGGGCCGGCCCAGGCCCCGCAGGGCCCGAGGCTCGGCTCGAGCACTTCGAGCGGACGAGGCCGGGGCCTTCCAGCAGCGAGGGCCGGACGGGCAGACCCCGCACCGCCCAGAGCAGAGCGCACGGCACGGGGCTCCCCAGCAGTCAGCATGCCAGCTGGCCATCGCTCGGACATGCATTCCCTGTGCACTGTTTGGTGTCGTGCGTGTTTTGTTGTTCTTCTCCAGATGATCGCAGATGCTCCAAGGGGCTCCAGATTTTCTGGCGCTGGCGTCGCCGAGAAAACGGCACACGCCCAAGCGATGCCAAGCCAGAAAACCGCGCCCTCAAGAGGCGACCGCTGCCGCCGCTCATGGAGGTATGGCGACCCCAATCCTGGACTTTGGGGGCTTTTCGACTGGACCATAGATTTTGGGCCCAACCCTGGGATATACTCGATGGGAGCCGCCCACGCTCGATACGTGTGCGTCCGAATAGCCCCTCTGGGGGTGTATCCCAGAGCACCCCCCTTTCTGAGCGGCCAAACTGTTCGGGCGGAGGCCTGGGGATTGGGGGAGCAAACGCGCCTTCAAGAAGAGGAGGCGGAAGAGAGGATGAAGAGAGAGGAGGGGGAGGAGTAAGACAAGGCCAGGACGAGGTTAAAATCAGGTGAGGTGATATAAATGGGGAATCTCTGAGATCCGGCGGCTCTCTGGAAGATGTCTCGGGCCTGCGGCAATTCCAAAGCATCCTGGAACGTTCTGAGAGCGCTCCAGAACGCTCTGGACCGGATCCACGCTCGTCCTAGCCCCATCCGAAAAACTCCTGATCCACCACGCACAGCTGGAGAGGTCCAGGGGCCGGTCTTCTTGGCGGCGCGCAACGGGGTGGCAAAGAAGACTGATTGTCCTTCTGATGGGATGCCCAGGAGGCCCGGCCACGGCGTACAGGTGAGGGCCCGGTCTGCAGCGATGGCACCCCAGGATTTTCCTGGGGGGAGGGGGAGGGAAGCGTCAGCGAAGGCCTCTCACTTAGGGCCCTCTTAGATGGAATCGGGGCATCGCACCGCATCGCCAGTCTATCGTCGATGCATCGGCGACACGGCGCGATCGTCTGACCATCTACTCGGGCTCCATGTAAGCGCCTGGGGATTACGAGGAGGTATTCGAAGGTTTTCCGAGGTTCTCAGCGGTGGTTCGAAGGTCTTCAAGCGCTGAAGATGGTGGGGGTCCGGATTTGTTTGGGCGCCTTCGGAAACATCCACGGGATTTCGTGAAAGGTTTCTTTTTCTGGAGGGTCGCCAAGGTTCCCAGAAGACAAAACCAAGAAAGAACGATGATGGAGTAGAGAGGACAAAAAAAGCAGGAGCGAGAAGAGAGATGGGAGGAGAGGCCAGGGACAACCGAGGAGAGATGATGAGAAGGATGATGAGGGAGGGGAGGCGAGGTAAGATGAACAATCGAGAAAAGGAGGGAGAGACGAGACAATGTAGGAGATACTGCAAACATATAGGCATACTTGTATCCGTATATATACACATACACATACACATACACATACACATACACATACACATACACATACACATACACATACACATACACATACACACACATATACATATTCATATACATATGTATATATACAACACATACATATATCGTATGTACAGCTTGGTCCCCCCACCCCCCGGCGACCCCCCCTGAGCCTCGATTTTGCACATCCGCCCGCCTCGTCGTTGTCCTCCTCCTTCTCATCCGCTTCCCTCTCCCACAGTAGGGTACCTATCGCAGACGTTCCAGTGGGGTTCCTATTGCACGAGTTGCAATAAGATTCCTATCGCGCAGGTTACATATCCCATGGCACAAAATGCACTAATAGTGCCTGCGCGCAAATTACAATCATTTTTGTCACACCTCGCTCGTCCATCTCTTCATTGCCATTTCTGCCCCGTGTGGTTCTCCCCTGCCTGAGCCGTGCCTTTTTGACAACCCTTGCGACACACATTTCATACGCAAATAAGACCACCCTTCGGGTGATAAAGAGCTTTGGGGGGGAAGGGGAAGCGGTCGATTTGCAATGCATCCCGCCTACCGTCAACAAAGAACGCACGACATATGTTGAAGACCACCTGCCCCTGCTTGCTTCCACCAGCCTGATCTATATATCGTTCTAGGTTTGTATGTATACATATATATATATAAAGAGAGAGAGGAGGGAGAGAGAGGTGCGCCAGTGTGTATGCCAATCTACCGGGTTTCCTGCCGATCAATTCATCGACTTTTATATATATATACACATATACACACACCGCAGGGATGGTTGCCGCAAGGACGCGGGATGTATATGTTCGCGCACGTCTTGGTGGCGGCAGGCGCCGTCTATCGCATTTGTTTGCATCTACCCGCGCCGTTGGGCGGGTGGCGGTGACGGGTGGCAGTCATTTGCCTGCCCCGTTCAGTATAGCAGCAAGCGGAAGTGGTGTATGTATATATGTATGTTTGCCTGTAGCAAGGCGAAATCCGCGGCAGCTCTTTGCCCGCCGCCCTTTTTGTTTTGTTGGGGGGGGGTTGGGCTGCCGCTCGGCTGCGCCTCCCTGCCTATCTACCCAACGGCCCATCTTTCTACCGACCTACCTATGTTGGCATGTATGTACCTACACACCTACCCATCGAAATCTGAACTTATATCTCTATCCATGTGTTTATCGCTCTATCCGTCTACGTATCTCTTTTTTTATCGACCCACCCCTCTACCTATCAATTTGGTAATGTTGGTGAAAATGGTGAGTGGTTGTGATAGTGATGCTGGTGGTGGTGGTGGTTATTGCAGAGCGGTGGGATGGCGGTGACCATGCGAGATGACGGTTTGGCGCATGCTGATGCACCGCAGCGAGGTGCCAGCTTCACTTAGTGGCGCGTGCTCTAGCGGCTGCGCACTCGAGAAAAAACATACCAACTGCAATCCGAAATGCGTTCGTAACACTAGCAGAGCTTGGTGCCGCGATGCGGGCGGCCGACGGCGCCGTCGCCGTCGTCGCCGTCGTCGTCGCGCTCGCCATCGCCATCGCCGCAGTCGCCGCCGCCAGCAGTCCCAGCATCATCATCATCATCATCATCCCCGTCGTCGCCGCGCTCGTTTCGCCAGGGCCCGGCGCAGCCCCATCCCACTCGGGCCCATCCCTAGTGGCTCGCAGCTCCATCCCACTCGGGCCGCCAGGGCCCAGCCCATGCCGCGAAATGGCGCGGAGTGGCGCCGTATCTGGTCACTGTCGGCTTTGTCGTAGCCTCAGTGGCTTCCGCCCTGGAGCCCCCGCCAGTCCGGGCCGCCCCCGAGCGCTGCCGAATGCCGCCCGCTCCCGGGGGCGCCCCGGCCTCGCGCGCCCGGCGGCGCGCGCGCGGGTTCTGCCTGCGAAAGAAGATCCCGGCCCCCCCCCCCTGCGGCGAGACAGCGCAGAAGCAGAGTCCGCAAATGCGCGCTGTCAGAGACTGGCGCGCCGCCGCTCCGCCTTGCGCGCCCGCGGCGCGCGCGCCCCCGGCGCCCCCCCCTCCCTGTGAGATGCGCTGCGTGGGGGCCGCGGCCGCGCGCGCGCCCCCCGGGGCAGCGGCCGCTCGCGCGCGGTGGCCGCGCGACGACGCCGCTGAACAGAAGGCCAACGATCTTTGCGATGCAGACGAGCTCACCCGCGACTAGCGGGCCGAACGCAGCGCTTGCGAGATCGGCGCCCCGCATGAAGAAACACAGCCTCGCGCACTTCGACCGCGCGCCGCCCCCCGGCAGGGCCCGGGGAGGGGCGCCCCAGCCGCGGCGGGCGCGTGCCCCGCAGCGCGCGGGCATGGGCGCAGCGAGCGGCCTAGGCCGCGCGCCCCTTCATGGGCCGATCAGTCTAGGGGCCGAGGTGCGCCCGCACATGCGTCGCATGGGGCCCGCCCCCTCCCGCGCCGCCGGCGCCGCTGCCAGCGCCCGGCGACCTGGCGGCCTCGGACCGCTCCATGGCCACGGTTCGGAGTGCGCGGTAGAATTAAGCTGCGTTCGATTTCCCGCGGTGCGCTTTGTAGGGGCCCGCGCGAGCCCCCCCGCAGCGACCGCCGCCCCGGCGCGGCGCCGCCCGAGGGCCGCGGTCTCGCGGGACGCGCGCGCGGGTGACCTGAGCGCGCCAGTTCGGCCAGATCTGGGGCGCGGACGCCAGACGCCGCGCCCTGGATCTGCGCGTCCACGCGGGGTGCGACCTCGCGAACGTTGCAGCGGCAGCGGCAGCCGCGTTCGGGGTCAACTTTTCCCGCGGGCGCGCCACCGCCCGGTGCTCACTTCTCTGAAGGGGGGCGCGGCGCTGGCAGAGCCTGGCGCCGCTGTGCGCAGCTCACGGCCCGAGCGCCTGCGATCCAGCTCGGCTAGCTCGCCCGAGCGTTTCTCAGCCAGGCCCACATGCAAATGCGCGCGACCCTCCGCGGAGCCGAGGTGCTGCACACCGCGCTGACGCCCGCAGGTCTAGGGAATGTCTTCAAGCAACTTCGACTACCGCAACAGGAGGCGCGCAGGCTGGTCTCGGCCCTGCGCGAGACCCCTGGCCCAAACATTGCGCCCGTTGGCAGCGACTGGGAACTCCCGATCGCCATCGCTGGCGGGGCCCGCACTCGCCCCCCCCCCCGCTCTTCCCCACGCCCCCCCCCCGCCCCCTGCCCCCCCCCGCCCCCCCCCCCAGCCCCTCCGAAACCACCTAAGGTAGAACTGCCAGCGGCATATCCTTACCACGGCCCTCATTGCCGCCCCCTGCCCCTCCCCAACCCCCGCCGCCCCCGCCGCCCCCCTCCTTCTGGCCCCTTCTCCTCCCGCAGCGCCTTGCAGGGCCGCCCGGATGTCCAGCTGCCGCCCCAGTTGCAGGAACGACGGCAGCGCGTCCGCGCGCGCCGCAGCATGATCGGCAGCTGCGCGCATCTCCGCTGCACGGCTGTCAGGGGCTGACCCCTGCAG